CATCTGAAGTGGGGAATGGTTATCAGGTTAAATAATTTTGGGGAACATCTCTGTTGTATTCAGGATACATGCTGTAGATAGGCAGCAGACCCCTCTATAGTTGCTGACTTCAGGGGGATGCTTGGGGACCCCTTATCAGAGACATCAAAGAGGGAAGATTTCTGCTGAGATTCAATGATTCTGAAATGGGTCAGCCCCTGGTTACCAACCTTTGGGTGATGAGTCCCTTTATACTTAACTTGGCTGCCCAAGCAGCAGAAGCCAAGTCCAACACTGGGCCCTTATTCCAATCCTTTCCAGCTTTGTAGCATCTGCCTGAGACTTCAAGAGCCTAGGGTCCCCTCTGCACAAACAATAATTAACATATTTGTTAATGAGGCAATTGGGGTTATGTGACTTGCCCAGAGTCACACAGCAAGGCTGGATTAGAACTCAGTTCCTCCTGACTCCAGGGCCGGTGCTCTATCCACTGTGCCACCTAGCTGCCCCTTAACATTTATTTTATTGATTCATTTATTAATAATTAACATTTCTCCTAGTGCTTTAAAAGTTTGCAAATGACTGCATTTAGAGCCTTGAACTACTGGGAAGAGATTGTCTTTTGCTTCTTTTTCTATCCCCAGCACTTAGCATAGTACTTGGCACATAGCAGGCACTTAATAAATGTTGATTAATTGATTGATCTTCTCATTTGGTATGAAGCAGGTACCAAGGCCTGGGATTTCATCCACAGAGGGAGCTCCTGGTAAAGGACTCCCTTTGCCAAGGAAGATCTATACCTTTGTTTTTTTGTTAAAGTTCCCTGGGGTCCTGACAGTCACGTGGCAGGAAGAAGTGGGACTTGAACCCAGGACTGTAGGACTGGAGGCTGGCTCTCTGTCCACTGTACCAGAGGGGTAAAACACTCAGCACTGTCCTGAGTGTGGCCCGAACCAGATGAAAATGTAGTTGGGAAATGTTTAACAAGATAAATAAAAATATAATTCAACATAGATAATATTCCATTTAAAACTAAGTCATTATGTGTTCTACAAGAATCCTTGTGCATGGTTTTGTGGTCCCTTTTCTATTTGAGTTTGACACCCTTACTCTGTACTATATTGCCTTTTCACTCCCATTTTACAGATGAAGAAATTGAGGGTCAGAAAATATGAATGATTTGTACATAATCCCAGAGGCTGGATTCAAACACCAAAATCTTATGCCATAGAGCCTGTCTCAATAAATATGTATTAGGGATATTTTAAAAGGTTTCTTTTTTTTTCAACTAAAGTTATGCATATATTCATTTAAATAAATCTGGTGGTGACTCTCTAGGCTTCATTGTTTCACTTGCTTATTATAAATGATTTATTCTCTTGTCTAGAGTAGTAGTTCTTTTTATCACAAATCCCTTTGTTTTCTAGTGCCCAGCCTGGTATGTTGCACTGGTACCAGATGTTCGGTAAATCAATCAATAATAATAATAGCTAACATTTATAGAGCGCTTTAAGGTTTGCAAAGATTCTCTCAACAACCCTGGAAGGTAAGTTCTATTATTATTTCCATTTTACAGATAAGAAAACTGAGGGAGACTGAGGTTAAGTGACTTGTCAAGAGTCACCCAGCTAGTAAGTATCAGTGGCTGAAACCACTGCCAGATAGCAGAGACAATCCAGCATTCACTAACTGTTTATCGTGTGCTAAGCTTTGGAGATGCAAAGAAAAAGCAAAACAAGTAGTTGCCCTCAAGGAGCTTACACTCTAGCGGGCATGGATCCAATTGTTTAAAGTAGAGACACTTGTTTTTATTCATTTTTATCATTAATGATTCTTCTTTGTCACAAAGCAAGCAGTGATGAGAAAAGTGAATAAGAACACGAATCCAGTTGCAATGTGGTTTTACACAAGGCAAATTTGGGAAGCAAATCTAGCCTATTCAGACTAATAACAAGAAAGTGATAACTCATTTTTCTATATAAGGACTATATTTATATAGTCTATTATTATAGCTTATTATTAATACTCATTATTATAGCTATATCTATATATTACTATGTAGTCTATTATTATATCTATTACTAGTCTATTTATTGTTACATCTATTACTCTATAGACTATTATTATATCTATTTTCTCCATTATAGTCTAAGGACTATAAAACCTTTTCCTTACAACCCCTCTGTCATATAGATAATGTTATTATCCCATTTTTCAGATTGAATGTCAGAAAAGTGAAATGGCTTTCAAGGTCACATAGTCAGTTCAGACTCAAATCTCCCAAGTCCAAATCCAGAACTCTTTCCAGTACTTTGACTAATACATCGAATGTTGAGGCATCTGAGGGATTTTGACCAAGCTGAGCTCCCAGAAACCTGTAACAGGATGATTGCTAATCCTGACTACTGAGGCAAGGAGAAGATGATAGTTGAACTGTTAAAAAAATTTATTAAAATGTCCAAGAGAGCACACCAATGCACAGTGTCAGATACCACAGGCCTACGGAACACTGTAGTCACAGCAAAACCAGCTGAGGCCAAAGCTTTTCAAACAAGCACACAGGCACACCCACGCATCCACATACAAAGATAATAATCCCGTTGAGAAAAAAAAGAGAGAGAGAGTCCCCCCAACATTGGCAGGGAGGGGGCCATGAGATGGCAGCCGAAAAACCAGAGGCTATGGCTAAGAAGAGACCAAAGTTACAGAAAGTCCAAGGAGAAGGGGAAGAAGGGAAGGTGGGTAGGTGAACGATCATGAACATCCTTTCCCGGCCTCATTTAAATGTAGAAAAGGCTTTGAATGGAAATTTATAGACTCTCTTGGAAGAAAAGGACAAAACCAGCACCAGACTGTGGCTCGATATGACCACTTTAAAGACTGAAGGACAGCTAATGTCCGTCCACAGCAGGAAAAATAAAGAGAAAAGTCCCAAATTAGGGTCCTGTTTGCTCATCTATTGTCAAGTAAGTTTCTGAAGGTGGGGGACCATGTCTTATTTATCTTGGTCTCCCCTTCAGGAGTAGGTATCATGACCCCCACCCCCAACACACACACCCCAATGTTTAACGAATGCCCCATCTTCCTGAGAGCCTGCTGCCGCCTGTGATAAAGGTGATTGTGTTCAGATTTTTACATTAGGAACCCAGGCTTTCCCCCTATTAAAACTTATGATCAAAGCCTAGTCTTTCATTTACAGTTTTTAAAAATGTGTTGTTTTTTTTTAAACCAGGAAATATAAACAGAACCCAGAATACTGGATTTGCTCATTGTTTTTACCGGCTTAGGGCCACCATCTTACGTTTGGTCTTTCAGCCACAATATACCCTGTATTGTTTTGTTGACTTGGACAGGGACCCAGACTGCGGGCTGGGTGCTGTCCTCTGCTGGACTCAATGAAGACAGTTTCCCGGGCTGAGGTACTTGGACTTGTCTGCTGCCCCAAATTCACTTCATACTGGGTATAATTCACTGCTCTGTTTGTTATGGTTCTGAGCTAAAAACAGGAACGGGGTCTGGGGTGGGGAGGGGGCTTCTCTGGACACGGAGAAACGTTCATTCTTTCTCACATCTTTGTTTTAAAAAACAAACCAGAAAAAACCTTTGTTTTTTTTTTTAAAAAAAGTGTGTGTGTGTGTGTGTGTGTGTGTGTGTTTAATACTGCAAACCTTTCTACAATATGATCACAGGTGGGTGTTGCTACTTTGAGTTTTATGCATTTCTATTCAACCAGCCAGCCGCTGGAAATGAGTGCAGGGTGGGAGGGGGGATTTGAGGAGAGTGGTGGGGTGGGGAATAGGGGGCAGCTAGAGAGGGGATAAGGAAGGGCCTGGGGTGAAGATTCGGTCTGGGAGACTATCAATGCCTGAGCTATGGAAGAATGGGGGTAGAGATGTATATAAACTGGCCCCCTCCTCAGACTGGCAAAGAGCTTCTATGCCTGGCTAGTTGTCTAGATCCCATAGGCTTGGCAGCTTGAAGATGAGAGGTATGAAGGACCTAGAGCCCTGCCAATCCAAGTCATCCTGTTATCCTGCCAAGCATAGGGTCTCAGAAGCATAGAATCTTAAAAACTCAGAGTCCTAGATTCTTGGACAGCATGAATAATAGATTCTCCCAATCACAGAATCTGAGAATCTAATCTCAGAATGATAGATCCAGAGAGTCTCAGAATCATGGAATCTTAACATGTCATAGAATTTTTAGTATCTGAGCCTTAGAATCATAGAATCTCAGAGCTGGAAAGGGCCCTCAGAATCCATCTGACCCAACCCTTTTCCCTCACCTGTCATATTGCTCTGAGTATAGGTCAACCCTGACTATAAATCGACCCCACCCCCATGACATTCTAAAAGTATTGTCCCATCCTAGTTGAAGGTTAAGAGTTTTTCAGTAACTGAGTGGGTATGGATATGGATAGGTGGATATGATATACTACAAGAATTAGGAGGTTGTGATTAAAAAAAAAAAGTTGACTCTTATATTCAGCCCCAAATGGGAAGCACATGCACACAGGTGTGCAGTGCACATGTGTAGCTGTCATCTCATAAAGATCTAACATTAGCTAATGTCCATGATGAGGGAGAACAGTCAACAAAGTCATGTATGTATTTCTATTATCCTTCTACTCCCGAGAATAATCATCTTAGGTAAAGTTTCAGCTCTGAGTAGGGCCATTGGCACATCAGTGTGTTGCTTATTCTTGGTTCCCTAGGGGGGAAAAGGAATTCATGAAAGTAAATTCAAATGCAATTTCATGTGCCAAATTCCCTTACCTCAAATAAACAGTCTTGTGAACAGAAGGCTAAACCAAAGCATAATACACCCTTCCTGATTGTTCTTCCTTTGATTAGGACATTATACCAGAGGTCTGTTGGGAGCTAGGACCGTGTTTCAAATACATGGGAGAACCTTGTAGGGGTGAGAAACAGGGATGGAGGGCTTTTTACAAAGAAGGTTAGGGAAGAGGGTTCTGTCAGAGTGGGGACCGGGGGTTGTGCTTCTTCTGTCCTAGTAGCCCATCAGCAGAAGTTGTCTTCCTCTTCTGTCTCCCAGTCCATCTTGGAGTGCTTCTTGTGTTTTCTCCGCTCCTTGTGGGATTTGTGGTGATGATGCTGGTGGTGATGCTGCTGGTGGTGGTGGTGATGACGCCGTAGGCGGTGTGACCTACGAGCTACAGGGAGAGAAGCAAATATGGGCAAAACGCTTTACTTCAAACCCTGTGAATTTAGACTCTTTGAGCGTTCACACGGGGGATAGCCTGAAGTTGACTTTTGCTCTGTATGTAGATAAAGAGTTGTTAGTGGATAAGGTAAGCTAAATACATACTTCCCTCCCCCGTCCCAACCCTGTCCCATATGATTGAAAAAAAAATTTAATTGAAGGGGGAATGTTGTTCTTATTTAGCTGTTCTCCAGTTATGTCCAACTCTTTGTGACCCCATTTAGGGTTTTCTTGGCAAAGATACTAGAGTGGTTTGCTATTTCTTTCTCCAGTTCATTTCACAGATGAGGAAACTGAGACAAACAGGGTTAAGTCACTGGCCCAGGGTCACACAGCTAGTAAGTGTCTGAGGCCAGATTTGAACTCAGGATGATGAGTCTTCCTGACCCCAGACCTGGTGCTCTGTGCACTATGGCGCCACCTAGCTGCCTACTTCTATCTGTATCCTCCATTAAATTCTTTACAATGATCTATCCAACATACTGGAGGTGGGAGGGGCTGGTTCCTTTGGTTCTGCTGAGGTTGAGCAGATCCATTGCCTATCCCTCACCCTTACCACTTGGCTGTTGCATCTTATTTTCTGGTCAAATAACTCTTGTGATTTTTTTGTTTGTTTGTTTGTTTTGGCTAGGCAATGGGGTTAAGTGACTTGCCCAGGGTCACACAGCTAGTTAGTGTCAAGTGTCTGATGCCAGATTTGAACTCAGGTCCTCCTGACTTCAAGGCTGGTGCTCTACCCACTGCGCCACCTAGCTGCCCCTTAAGTCTTTGTTTCAAGAAAAAATCTGGAATCATTAAAAGTGGCTCACAAATATTTCCAAAGCAATCCAGCTACTCTCCTTGTCCTATTCAGTTCTGGGCTTAGTTCATCATCCTTCTGCACTGTCCATCCTAAAGACATGTCCTGATGGACCAGCTCAATGGACTGTCTAACAGTGATAGGACAATGATCATTCTTCATCTGCTTGGTTTTTTTCCCATGGGAATCTTTAGGACAAACTCTTTTGAGTGATTATGAATCTCATGCAGGAAGCTCTGCAACATTCCAAGGTTGATGTAATCAATCCAATGTCATCTGCAGATAGAAGCATCTGGAGGACCTTGCCTCTTCCATTTGAACTGTGCTGGACATCCTCTATGCCAAAGTTGGCAAACAACTTCAGCAAGCATACATCTACTTGTTTTATGCTCTGCTGGATAGTAATAATCAGAGGGGTCTGATTTTGTATCTTTCAAGTAATCATATACGATTTTGAGATATTCATGGAAGATACTTTGTTGGAAGAGAGTCTTTGAAGTTGTATTTTACTCCATTGGGTTAACAAACAATGAAATGAGCACGGTGAGACATGTACCATTCAGTCAATTGTATAGTGGTAAAGATGCTTTAGAATACCATCTTGAAAAGCCTACCTATTTCTGTCTCATAACTTTGTCAAGGATACCCGTGGTATGTGTGTAGATTATTCTCAAAGGTTTTTAGAGATGGGAAAGCAGGAATAAATATAGGTCAATAGTTAGTGGTATTCTCTTGAGTGCCTCTTGAGGAATTATAACGATGTCTTTGGTTTCTTCCCGCAAACTTTTGGTACTCTCCTTTCAGATAGAAAAACAATAGCTGGCATTTGGTTTGCAAAGCACTTTACCATTTAATCTTCACAACAACCCTGGCAGGCAGGTGGTATTGTTATCTTCCTTTTATGGATGGGGAAACTGAGGTTGAGGGAGGTTTAGTGACTTGCCCCAGGTCACCTATCTAGTAAATGTCTGAGGCTGGATTTGAACTCAGGTCTTCATGATGATAGGCCCAGCAATAGGTCCACAGCGCCACCCAGCTGCCTCTATACATTTTGGCAATGCTCTCCAAATTGCGATGCTTCCAGAATGGACCTCCTCTTTGTATATACTTGGGCTAATTCACCTGTCCTTATTGTCTTTGGTGCAGTAAATAGAATGCTGGCCTTGGAGTCAGGAAGACCTGAGTTCAAATCTGGCTTCAGATACCTACTAGCTGTGTGACCCCTGGGCAAGTCACTTAACTTGTTTGCCTCAGTTTCCTCATCTGTGAAATGAGCTGGAGAAAGAAATAGCAAACCACTCTAGTATCTTTGCCCAGAAAACCCTAAATGGGGTACTAAAGAATTGGACACAACTAATCAACAATAACAACAAAAGTATTTTTTGGGGGGGGTTTGTTTTTTCTTTACTACGATTTCTAATTCCACATATAGTATGCCAGGGACTATGATATTAGAACCCAAATGGGGTGGACACAGACTGTTTTTGATGAAGGAAATAATGTTATCAATGTTACAACTACTACTACTTCTACTACTACTACTACTTCTACTACTACTACTTTTACTATTTTTACTACTACTATCTCTACTACTACTATTTCTACTACTACTTCTACTATTTCTACTACTACTACTACT